GATAAGAACTCTTACCAATTTTCTCTTTTTCAAAAAAAAAAAAACCAAATACAACGATTTGTCAAGATAAAAGCAGACACTTCACATAAGCTTTGCAATCACTTACGTGTTGGATGGATACTTAATTTGACACTGTTTTCTTCTTCACCTTTTTTTTTTTNTTNTTGTAAAATTGATCATTCAAGAAAATTCTCTCTTTTTCTTTGTTCTTTTACTAAATCAATAGAAATCATCTTACACAACCAAAAATACAAACGCTCTCGAATTGTGAAAATGATCAAAGCAATCTCATCTCTACGTAAAAGTCTGATTCTACCTCTTCATTTACATATTCGTACGGTATAAACCGCAAAATATCTTTTTCTTACAATCTAACAATGATTCTTACACAGACATGTTTGAGAATATTTTTTATATTTTCTGATAAACAGGTACAAACTTTTTCCAAGTATAACGCACAAGCTGCTTCAGCCTTGCGAGAAGAGCGTAAGAAACCTGTGTACCAGTAAGTTCTTGATCCAAACTCTGTTTTACATTGAAAAAAACTCTGTTTTACATTGAAAAAGGCTCTGTTTTCAATATTTGTTGTTTGGTATTAATATAGAAATGGAGATGATGAGTATGCGGATTTGGATTGGGATAATCTCGGGTTTGCACTTACTCCAGCTGATTACATGTACGTAATGAAATGCTCGAAAGACGGCGAATTCACTAAAGGAGAACTTAGTCGCTTTGGGAATATTCAGCTAAGTCCTTCTGCTGGAGTATTAAACTATGGACAGGCAAGAATCTTGTAACCCCCAAAATGTTTCTTGATCTGTCTCTATCTGGATTGTCTGAACCAATGGAAGTTTTCGGATTATTCGTAGGCGATATATGAAGGTACAAAAGCATACAGGAAAGAAAATGGGAAGCTTCTTTTGTTTCGACCGGATCATAACGCTATGCGAATGAAGATTGGAGCTGAACGGATGCTCATGCCTTCTCCTTCGGTTGATCAGTTTGTTGATGCAGTTAAACAAATCGCTTTCGCAAACAAGCGTTGGGTACAAAACTGTTTTCTTGTAACATATTCTGAATAGGTTTCTTTTGGGATCTGAGTGGTGTGTTTTGGTTAGGTTCCTCCGTCAGGGAAAGGGTCTTTGTACATTAGACCACTGTTGATGGGAAGTGGACCAGTTCTTGGTTTAGGTCCTGCCCCTGAATATACATTCATTGTCTATGCATCTCCTGTTGGTAACTACTTCAAGGTATATACATATATCCTCTCTTTCTCTTCTTGTTTGAGCTTTTTCTTAGTGGCAATGGAACGATTAGAAAATGTTCTCTCTACTGGTTTTTTATAGGAAGGTATTGCTGCTCTGAACCTCTATGTGGAGGAAGAGTATGTCCGTGCAGCTCCTGGTGGAGCTGGAGGTGTCAAAAGCATCACAAACTATGCCCCGGTAAGTATTGAAAGTTTGAAACCAACTTTTAGTTTCAGAGATGAGAGGCAACAAGTTTTGATAAACCATGTACTGTATGTAGGTTTTGAAAGCACTGAGCAGAGCCAAGAGTCGGGGATTTTCAGACGTTCTTTATCTCGACTCTGTCAAGAAGAAGTATCTTGAAGAAGCTTCTTCTTGTAACGTCTTTGTTCTAAAGGTATGTATATGTATTGTGGGGTTTCCAGTAGATTCTCTTTGTTGCATACTAATTGTATCATTGATTCAGGGTCGGACAATCTCAACTCCTGCAACCAATGGGACGATTCTCGAGGGGATTACTCGGAAAAGTGTGATGGAGATTGCGAATGATCAAGGTTATCAGGTAAAACAACTCTTTTAACCTCAAAACACCAACAATTATAAACTCAAGTAAGTTTCACACACCTAAGCCAATGATCAGGTAGTAGAGAAGACAGTACATGTGGATGAAGTAATGGATGCAGATGAAGTTTTTTGTACCGGTACAGCTGTAGGAGTTGCTCCTGTTGGTACTATAACATATCAGGACAAAAGGTAAAAAAAAAAAAAAAACATTGTCTTAATCACTCCCAACTTTAACCAAAGATTTGGCCTGATTTAATCTTTTGGAAACATTCAGAGTAGAGTATAAAACCGGAGATGAATCTGTGTGCGAGAAACTGCGTTCCGTCCTTGTCGGTATCCAGACAGGACTGATTGAAGACAAGAAAGGATGGGTCACAGATATCAACTGAGACACCAATCTTTTCCCACAAAAGAGAAATTACTCTGCATTTTAACCTTTATACACACAATGAAGAACCCTCTGTGTATGTACATATATATATACCATTCAAGAATCGAATCCATTAGTGAACAAAGAAAGAAAAACATCCATCTCACGTTTCTTCAAACATATGCCAATCTCGACGCCACTAGTTTCATCCCTCCTCTGCGATAGAGAGAACTCACCGTTTTGGTAAATCGACATAAGCTCTGTATTAACGGGTCTTCCCCACCCGAAATCCGACCCGTATACCCCAAACTGGTTAGACCCGGAAACGAGCAACATCTGCGTACCTAACTTCATTTTCTTGGTTCCTTCCTCGTACACTTCCCACACTGACTCAACTCCTCGTGAACCAAAACCTTTGACCGAATCGCTGAGAATCTCGACGCCATTAACGAACCCATCTTCTCCCATAAACGTCTTGGCTTCGTATCCGTGTAAATCAATGGATAACGTACAGTTCCCGAAGTAGGTGACAGGAACCGGCGGGTCTAACCGGTCTCTGAAATCAGCAGTGTACCTGAACCGAACCGGTCGATCTTCATAGCCACCACGCGCCCTGACCATGCATGTCCACACGTAGGCGTATGTGACTACGAACGTTGACAAGTGAAGAAGATCAGAGCGAGCTGAGTCGTTCTTGGCTCGCTCCCTGAGTTTCTCGACCTTCTCCTGAGTCAGCTCTAGCGTGATCCGGACAAGGTCATCGCCGGTCTCTTTGGCAGGAGGAAGTTTCAAGCTTCTTGCGTTGTTGTCGTGTGAAAGATACGGTAGGAGTTGGAAAATCCTCTGTTCGAGTGTGGTTGGAACGTTGATGACCGAGCGGTCTAAAAGCGTCGGTAAAATAAAATCTTGCGGTATGGTTCCTCGTTTACAAACGTGAGCCCATGATTTGTGAAATTTTGAGGCTGTTTTGCCATCCATGGCCACATGGTGGGCTGTGGATCCGATGCAGAAGCCTTGGCTTGGAAACAGAGTGATCTGCAGAGAAAAAAGACAAGCCGAGTCAGAGGAAGACGGTAACTCGGGAACTAGACCGCGTAACTCGGCCTCGGGACGAAGCCCTTTGTCGGAAAGACGAGAGAAATCGGCGTCGGTCTCGGCCACTGTGAGAGATACAGCGTCTTGTTGCGGGAAGACGACAATGCGGGGTTTGGGATCTTGTGGGTCCCACTTGAGGTGACCGGAGAGTGGGAGGAAGTGCGCGAGGACGAGGGAAAGGGATCGCTCGAGCTTGGGGAGGATCACGAGAGATGACTCAGTGGTTTTGTAAAATGTGGCTCGCTCTGTAGGACTGCGTTTGATATACCTGAGATCAAAGAAACTGAGCGGGACAACGAGCGGTTCGACTAAGTCCGTTGCAGGGCTGACTCGAGAGATCTTGATCACCTCTAAGACCATCCTTGGCTAGCTAAGCTTATCTCACTTGGACTCTCTTTTCAGACAAGACTTTTGTAGATGGCAACGTAATAATGATTGCCCCTTAATTATTTATGTACCCATGTGAGTGTTTGGTGTGCCTAATCAAACTTTTATTCGCCAAGTATCAATCAAATGATGCAAGTAAAATATGCTTTTGGTAGGTAAAAAGCTAACTAAAACCACAGAAATATGCAACCTATACCATTAATTATTGTTTCAAGCAAATGAACATACATCATTGATCAAATAACGGATCTTTTGCTTGTCGTTGAATTCACTCTTCTTTTCAATATCTTGCCTAATACTCTGCTTCGATACTAGAGAAAGAAATTCATGTGGATGAATGCAAATGAAGTTTTCTGACCTGTAGGAGTTGCTCCTGTTGGCAGTTGGCACTATAACATATCAGGACAAAAGGTAAAAGAAACTCACAGTCCCTTGATAGAGAGTTTTACTCAACTTTAACCAAAGATTTGGCCTGATGTAATCTTTCTGAAACATTAAGAGCAGAGTATAAAACCGGGGATGACTCCGTCTGCGTTCCATAATAAACCAGTACCTTCAACCTTATCCCACAAGGAGATTACTCTGCATTTTAAAGCTGTGTATACACACCAATGAAGAACACTTTGTGTAAAAAATTATATGTACAGAAACAGAAAGCTCTATATGGACACTTTTTGGATCATCTGGAATGGACATGGCTCTTCAAGTATCTATGTTGTTCGTATGTAGATCTCGGTAAATCTTGGGGAATAACGACTTGGTGAAGCACTGGGACAAGATTTCACCTCAAGCAATGAGTGAAACTTTGACCACCGTGAGAAATCGGCATCGGTCTCGGCCACCGTGAGAGAGACGGCGTCCTGTTGCGGGAAGACGACAATGCGGGGTTTGGGATCTTGTGGGTCCCACTTGAGTTGGCCGGAGAGCTGGAGGAAGTGCGCGAGGACGAGGGAAAGGGATCGCTCGAGCTTAGGGAGGATCACGGAGTCGAGAGATGAGTCGGTGGGGTTTGTAAAAAGTGGCTTCCTCTGTAGGACTGCGTTTTATGAATTCGAGATCAAAGAAACTGAGTGGGACAACGAGCGGGTCGACCATGTCCGTTGCAGGGCTGACTCGAGAGATCTTAATCACCTTTAACACCATCCTTCACTAATCTAACTTGGACTCTCTTTCAGACAAATTAACTTTAATAATGAGATTACCTTTTAATTATATATACCTCCGTGAGTGTTTAGTGTGCCTAACCAAACTCTATTCTCCAATTACAAAAATCAC